ACGTTTCGAACGTTTCGAGGTGAATACGAATATCTTTCGCGAGGAGCAACTATTGTTAACGCGGGGCAAGGCAACTATTTTTGGCGTCGCGACGCGATAACCCCTCGCTGTGCTATCGAGACGGCATTCTACCGCCGGTCTGTAAATCTAGCAAAGAATTTGTCGATACGATCCAGCCAATAAATCGATCGCACGTTTTCCCCCCGATTCTTTTGCGCATGGAAAAGACGCGTGGAAAAATCAGGTATTTTTCCGTCCTCATTATTGAATGTTTGAGTTCGTGCATACGGAATGCTGTTTTTATAGATTTTCCATTTTTTTTTCTTTTTTTTTCTTTTTGCGCGCGCTCGTGATAACGCAAACAGAACCAGATTCGAGGATTATTATGTACCATACATGAGGGGGAGGGAGCCTGTTGCGATAATCTATGGTACGTTTAACGTCAATCCGTTTGCGAGATAGCAATGCGAATGCGAGTGCCAGTCATTTTACGACTGCTTGTTACTTAGCGAAACCAGGCGTTACAAAGGTGGATAAATAAGTTTCCACATAATGTCGAGCAGCGTTCGACGGTTTATGTCGACGTGTGTAGCCGCTTTGTTGCTACGAAGGAACAAACAGGGATTACTTTGCGAAACAATGCTTCGCTAGAGACTGAACATGGGCTTTAGGGAAGACTCGAAAACGACGAAGACATTGGATTGCGCAAAGTGAAACAAGAAAAACGTATATCGAAACGGCTGCTTCGTACAGAAAGGATACTAGTTGTTGGTAGCTAGAATTTAGGGAGAGCAGATTAGACTAATGCATACTGTCGACAATCAAGAATTAATTATGATCGAAATTTATTAGGTGTGTCAATAGGTAATCCCCTATTTTAATGTTCGTTCCCGTTCTTCAGTACCCTCCATCATTCCTAATACAGAAAAAAGACTAAAAAAGGTTTTGACTTCAAACCCGGCTTATTGATGGCTAAACAAATATCGTATTACTTATTAATACATTTAATACACAGTCGGATGTACAGACTAAAAAGTTACATGCCCCTAAATCTGATGGACCGATTTCCTAATAAATATATAGGTACACAACAATAATTACTATTTATACGTAACTAAGAAGTAAATTGTAAGTTACTTCGCACGTTATGATGTAATGTCACCAAATTTCCTTATAATTCCCTGCGAGTGATGGATTGTAAATACTCTAAGTAAAAATGAAAAAAAAAACAACTACTGCATAGTTGCATACCGATTTTGTTACACGATAACGACAGAACTTACGCGTCAAGGACCACAATAGAAAAACTTAGCGAAACGAAATGTAAATCAGAGGGAATCCCCGTTTGTTCGATCTTTCCTCAACAGATTGTCATTCTCCCAAGCGTTCCGATCATTCTCTAAAACATTAAACCCCTTAAATCACCGTCCGTCTGGCTTAATTAAAACGGAGCTCAATAAGGCAAATACATAGACAGAACACCAGCAGAAGCGTGTGAATCGACTCGATAGTTATTTCGATCGAGCAAACAAAGTTTCGAATAGCTCGCGTGCCATCGGCATTCGATCGTCGGAGAAACGACGTTCGACTTGCATCGGTCTAATTAGGGTAATAGAGCGTTCCGGGATAGGATTAAGCGCGGGAGACGGAGACAATTAATTGCGATAACGGAAATCGATAAGAAAAAAATATGTCGATGGAAATAGCTGTTTCTTCTGCTGGAATTATTTACATTCCTGTCGGCGCGGTGATCGTCAAGTTATCGTGTGCGCTAAATACCAAAGGTCTTCACGAGTCGATTAGAAAGAGATTCGTCAGAAAACAGGCGACGGCGGGTCGCGATGTTATTAAATGTGTATCGGTAGGTTGCATCACGATTGCATCGCGGATGACAGATCTTCGAGGGAATTGAGGAACGGCCACGCCTCGTTTGAAATTCACGCTACCGTGGTCTCATTAGAGAACTCTGTTTCCTCTATCACAAGGATGTTCGTGCATTATGCAAAGAACGCCGCCACGTGCTCACACCACCCCTCCCTCCTCCCCAACCCCACACCACGCAACTTTATCCATCACGTATCTAAGTACATGTTCCTGTGGCTGGAAAACGTTTCATCGAACGTATATATATATACATACAATTGCAACCGCTATTGACGCGTTGATAATGATGATGATCGGTGCTTTTATCTTATCTAATTTTTCTACGATGCTGATAGGATGAACGCGTTACCAAAACGGAAAACAAGCGACGTGTCGTTGACGCGCGAAATCGTTGAAATCGATGGGACAACGATCGTAAAAATCGACGAAAAATAGATTTTGCAACGGAAGTCTGGAAAACGTGGACATTTCACGGATGTGTACATTGTCCGATCCATGACCCGCGGAATCGCAATGGAATCGCAGATATTCCGGGATAAATGGATTACGCAAGGCCGTCAACGTTTAGACGATTACAAATCTGTATTTTGTTCTCGCAGGAAACGTTGCATTAACTGATCGGTAATCGAGTCTGTAGTTACCTAACGTTGATTTTAGTTTAAACAGGAGCAGGTTTGTTTTGATCGTTTCGCGATTCGAAAGATTAATGCGATCTTTTGTGCAACGTCATTTTCTAACGGTGATGTCAGCACCCCTAACTTTACGTTTCAGGTAACGTTTCTAATTGTTCTTAAACGTACATTTAAACTTTACACGAACGTTTAAACAGTGTACTGAATAAATTGTGTATTGATTGAATTCATAGAGTATTTCTTGCTACATTCCGACAGATTCCGAATTACATTTCCGTGAGCGTAATCCTATTGACAAACGCAATTCATTGGATAACGGTAATTACATTGAATAACAGTACAACAATACTTCTCATTGGTTGTAATTGTTATCATAATTACGGTTCTTCGTCAAATGTAAATACAAAGTAAAAAAAAGCTTGTGAAAATATTTTTCCTTTCTGTACGTATCTGGAAGAATTCTTCGGTTAAAAATAATAGTAGAGAAGATTTACAACGTTTATGTAAATCGTTCGAAATGCCTCAGAGACGTGCAATTTTCAAATGTATTCTATAATGCAACATCAATCTCTGGAATTACAATTGTTGTCGCCGTGACTAGTTTTGATTAATTCATTCAAAAAGACGTATGGAATTGCATAGTTTTAATTGACGAATGCACAAAATTTGCACTTGTAAGACATTATTTGGAATACATTTTAATACTTTATTTTCCAATGTCCTATTACATTTTAATTGCTTCCAAGTATATACGTATTATGTTGCAATCACAAAAACTCGTTGAGAAAATATGAGCAAACATTTCATTTCATCATTAAGTACATTTATCTTATTTCAATGTTTAATACATTTACTAACTTATTTGTAATATACAAAAAGAATATATTATTTTCAATGCTTGAAGAATTTTAATAATTTCAAATTAAATTTAGCGGTCAATCTGCGTTACCAGCTGATGATATTATATTCCTGAACTCATTGTTACCATAGACGAGATATAAGAATAGATCTAACATGCGATGTAATTTTCTGTTCTATGCTATGAGGGCGTCAGAAGCCCCCTTACAATTTTGGTGTTAATACCCGACGTTACCGATAAAGCATGAATTCTGAGTATTTTTAGCACAAATGAAGTGTTATATATTCCATTCATATTGCGTGTATCTATACGATTCGACGGGAATAAAAATATCTATATTAGGATAGAGATAAAGATGTATGGAACTACTGAAAATTACTTTAGATTCCTTTTCCTTATTCTGTAAATTCTTTGATTGGAATATGAATGCTGCTGGAAGTATGAACATTTTCACAGAACAATGATATAAATGGAACTTTTAAACTTTTTTAAGTGTTACAGTGATATTTCGTTACATGTTCCATAATGTCAATAGATTTCCCCGCAACATCCATAATTATTACAAATGTCAATATAACGAAATATCTTTTATGCGATGTTTGTGATGTAATAAAAATCTGTGTTTCGATTACGTTTTTGATACGTATTACTCACTTATATGTAATAATATAGAATAAAAATATACTGTTAGTCCGATATTTGAAAATATACATGCGTTCGTTGTCACTGTTAAACTGTTGTAATAACAATGGAATAATAAAATAATTTACTCAAATGTACATAATAATACATATACATATTCATAAAAACAATATTAAACGCAATAAATTTTTTGTACGCGGAAAAAAACCAATAGGTCCGTCGGGACTAGAACCCAAGACTCCTTTCTAGATAATACGTCTACTTTAACGTAGTTCACAAATTCACCGTTCTCATAACGTACAGGGCAGCAGAAAATCCCTGACTTTTTACACTATCGGTATTTCAGAACATGAGACACGAAGTCCCATAAGATGATAAGTCTATCCTATACCTAGTCGGTGGTATTATGTATTACATTTTTTTCGGGAACAAAAAAAGTAACTAGGTTTAACATTGCTATTATGAACACGTATATGTAATGTTATGTAAATTTGAGTAAAGTACTTTATTTTTCCACTGTTAATACATCAGTTTAATAGTGACAATAAATGCATTATGTATTCAAATGCTAAGAGTATACTTTTATTCTGTATTATTACATATAAGTGAGTAATATATAGATGTATATCAAAAAAGTAATCGAAACATAAGTTATTATTGCACCACGAATTGTTTAAAAAATACAGGCCCTCAAAGTTGGTAATTTTCATCGATTTTTACATTTACTTTAACAAAAGAATTTTTATCGTCGCAATTATAGGAACGTTGTAATATTTCATGATAATAAAAATTAAAAAATATTTCTATTGAAAGTTGAAACTACTTCTGCACTAACGATATAAAAAATAACTGACATTTACATCGAGAAATTCAGGATACCTCTCCAGAACAATTTTATTACAAATACATTAGTACAAAATCTTACGTGAATACTACACATCAATATCTAATTAAAAATTAACGACACATATTATGTCGTCGTATTACGACTCCACTAAAGTCGTTATGTTTATTTCTCTCGTTGGAGGATAATAAGATTGTTTTTCTAAATAATTCGTTACGGTATATCCTTTTTGTCGGAACAACAAAGATTCAAGTTCACTGGAATCATCCTGACCGTCCAATTTCTCGACTTCAGTTTGTTTCATCGTTAAAAGCTTCTCAAATTTCTCAAAAAAATGTCGAAGATCCTTCTGTAACACCTGATTGTCATTGTGAAGCTTCGAACGAAGGCAATTGACCATGATGACTTTGCTCCTGAGGTCATTCAATTGCACCGATACTCTCTGCATCTCGTTTTCTGTTCTGGAACGTTCTTGTACCTGTGCATCCAATAACGCTTTGTTGCTAGTCAGTTCTTCCTTTAGCTTATCGTTACAACTAATTATATCCAGCATTTGGCGCTGCAGCTCACGTAGACGCTTCTTCTTCAGAGAACATCGTTTCTTTTTTTCTTTAAGCTCGTTTGGTCGTCCATGTATCCTCGGGAACCTCTTCAACGTACATTTTTTCAGAATATTTCTATGCAGTCTCCTCTGAATAAATAATAATAAATTAACTGTATACCACTAATTTAAGGTGTACGGACTGTAGATATTTATATCAAATCACAAAAAGGAGAATTAGGTCGTAACTAGACTACAGACTTTATGCATTTACAATTACATACGATTAAATAAAACTCAGTGTAGATGAATATTGAAGGAAGTTCAATTACCCTTTTATTGTATCTAGAACCCGAGGAACGTTTAACAGATTGTCGTACGTAAAGTCAGTACTAGCATAAATCACTGCAATGTAGTCATAAGTCCTCCAGTTTTCTTAGAAAATTTAACTATTTATATTTGGTAATACGTACTATAATCACTCGAATAAAATGTCTTAAACAGAATGCTATTTCTTCTATCTAAATATTTTATTACACACGATCCATGTTTTTATTAACCATTATCGAATTTGTTTATTTTCTTCCATTTCTTTAGTTGCATAAAATCCACAGTATCAAGGTGAAATCACAAAAAGAGAAACTTACCGATCGATCTATCGTGCGTTTATCGATTTTAGTTACGGGCTTCCGAATATTGTTCGTCGTAATCCAGTTCACGAAATATCGTTTCTTCGCTGGCTTTCCTTCCGTTGTATCCTTGTTCCGTCTCAGAAGTTTCAGTATTACTTGAAGAACATTAATGGGTATACGATTCCGAGTGAGATCTATCTTTGTTAATACATGGTTTGACTGCAGAACGCAAATGATGTACTCTGCGCCCTGTTTCGTAATGCCACAGCGTTTCAGGCTCAACGATCTCAGCAAACAATCGACTTTTAGAGTGCACACTAACTGCCGGACGCCGTTGTCGCCGAATTTTGGATTCTGATTCAGAATCAACGTGTGCAGGCCCTGAACCTGGAAAAAAATCATTTTGTTAGATCGTTATAGTCTTGTATCTACAGATGTCATAAAATGTTCGTGTAATTTTTAATGTTGTCTCTTTCTCTCTATATAATCACGAGTTATCCATCCCTTTATAATCTCCTACCTACTTTAAAGTATACACTATCACTGATAATTATTTGTCCATCGAAACTAGATTCACTTTATTAAATAATGTGCCAATCTTTTAAAAGAGCTAGTCTTCTTACAATAAACCGTTTCTCACAAAATGACCATTTATTGAAGATTCCCAAAATGAAGAGTAAAATGAAACATAATCAACCGTTCTTTGATAGGACAAATAATTACGAACAGTAATGTTCAAATACTGTGTAAATTTGATATATTTTGTAATCTTTATATACTTTATAATCTCACGGGATTTAGTATACTGTAGATGATTATAAAAATTTCCATAGTTATGGGCCGAATCATAACAAAATCGAATTGATCAAAATCCCAAAGTCCGTGAATTATCATTTATTATCTCCATAAATTCTTTCAAAAATTCCTCACCTTCTTAACGGAATTTTCTCGATGAGACCCTACAGGGGACTCCGCCCAAACGTTCTGCATCAGGTCAGCCCTCCTTCTCTTCAAAAACAGGGACAAGCTCGCAGCACTCCTCCTGGTCAATCGACACCCCGACAGATTCAGGACACATACATTCGGAACGTTCGCCAAACATTCTAGCAGCGCGTTACAACCTAAATAATAAAAATATAATAACTAAAAAGTACTTCGCAAAGAATGAACGACACGAAAAGAACGATCAAAACGAACATAAAGAAAATGGTCTCAAAGTATCATACTCCAAACGATACGAGATCACTGTTAATTAAAGGAACTTAGAATGGTAAGAAATGATACAAACCAACGTCACCGATGCGGCATCTCGTTAGCGACAAATGTGTGAGCTTCTCGTTGTCCCGCAGACCGGAGTAGAGGATGTTCAGATACTTCGAAGACAGTGGGATCCCGTCGATGGTGATCGAGGTGATCCTCGACGAATCCCTCGCGCAGACGGCCACCGCATCGACAAGGCACCGCAACAGGTAGTTCGTGTACAGAATGGGCCAGGCTCGATCCTTTCCGCACCGCCTGGACGATCGAAACTATCGTCTTCCACTTTCTTTCACCTTAGCGAGTTAGGTCAGAGTTCATTCTCTCCCTCTTTATCTTTACTGGGGCCGTTCGAACCCGCTATATTCCATTTCCTCCACTTCCATCCCCTCAGCCTCTTTTCCAGATTGCCTCCTTTCTCCCCCCATCCTTCTCTTCAGTCCAACGGATACGACCTGCAAGCTTAAACTTTCTGAGAGTAGTATCCGAAAGAGGAAACGAGGAAATTGTTTGGCGAAGCGTTAAGGGATGTGAGAACCTTTTGTGCAGCAACGTTCGTAAGAGCTTCTTCTGTTTGAAATTATTTAACCCAACTGTGGTATCATTGAAAATGATACTCGTGAGAAGAATTGAAGAAGCTGTCGACGTATTCGATTTGTTATGATTGGAAATGTGGAATTTGGGTAAATACAAGTGGAATTATTATTGTTTTTATATTAATATAGAATTGGATTCTTATTGACACTAACGATTAAACAATCTATATTTTGACTTTGATGTAAATATTTTATGGTGATTTAATAAAAATTTATGGAGAATTCGTTCATGCTACACAAAAGGTAATCACAATGCAAATAATCAACTTTTGAAGTGTAAATGCTTTCTAAGTTTAAGCTTGGGGAAGCAACGCAGGTGCAAACCCTATCCTCCCACCCATTTTGTACAAAACTATTCTGGTTGTTATAAACTAGTCGTATGTTAGTTAAATATTTACTAAAAATTTACGTGTTTCTTATACTAATGATAAAACAAAGTACAATTCTCTTTTTTTAATAACACCGTTTTTATCAGTCGATACTAAAGTTCGATAGGTTTTTCGGACCTACAGAGGAGAATTACCATAATTTTTCGAGTTTCTCTTCCGTATTTACTCTCTCCCTTATCCTTCGGCACAAGCTCCGACTGTACATACTGATTTTCAACAAGCTCCGATTCTCAGCGATGCTGTTTAATATCGGGGACCAATGTTTCAGACCCACCCGGTCCACGCAGAATCGCAAACACTTTTCTTTAATGTGCGCTTGAATGGCGGGTAGCGGTTTTATCGACTTTTGCGCGCACAGGACCTTGTTGGAAAATGTTAATATTACGCGGTGAGCAACGTTTCGAGAAATTAGTTATTCGATATTCTAAAATAATCGTATTCTTAAAGATTCGAGTGGGTCTATATGTGTAAGTCTTCCTACTTCAGAGGATAATCAATTTCTCTTTGTGGTTTCTAAATTTCCAAAGTATATAAAAAAGATCGATAAAAGTTTTATTAAAAAATTTGCAAATTTAAATTTATGCGACTATCAGGAAGAAAACGTAAAATAAAGTCTAAACCTATCTTTCTGGGAACTATGGTTCTGAAGATGGCGTCCCACGATACATCGAGTGCTATTTGAAAACCCAATAAGTAATTAAAAATCGATATACTTTGGAGATATTGACCAAATATACAAAATAATTTCAAAACAAGCATTTCTCCTGGTATTGTTAAGTTGTTAGTGTTTTAATTTTTCTGTGAAATTTACATGCTATTTCTTAACATACCGTACAAAAGAGTATAGAACTATCGTACAAAATTAGCAAGACTTGTTTAAAAAATTAATGGAAGGCGTGATAAATTTTGAAGAAACTCTAGTTAAAAATTTTGTTAGAAAGAGTCCAATCCAAATGGCATATTTTACTAAGCACTAAAATAGGAAGATCCCGAAAATACTCATTACCAATTATCATGCTATGTTAATTCGTAATTTCATTAAACAATTATAGGTGGTTGTTTAAAAATAAAGTGTGCGATTACAATTAATTACTACACTAATACTGACTGTGGTAAGTGGGATTCAAAAGCAATCGGAAACTATAATAAAGTGTTATAACCAAATAAAACATAGAGATATAGAAGTTACGTAAGAAGTATAGGATTATACAGATATAGTAATCGTGAAGTTTTAGACAGAATATAATCATCTAATTCCAAACCATGTAACGTAAACGTAATTTTTGATACATTACTTTGTTGACGAACCTCATATAACCAACCAAACTGTCTTTGATTCTTTTTTCTCGCTTCTTTGCTATTTGGCATTATTTATAAACTTTCATGTACCGTGCTCATCGATTACCATTTCACCATTTCTGCGTCCAATTGAACGTTCAAGCGTATATTCAATATAAATAAAAATTCGAAAGGTTGCTTTTCGTTAAAATACTTCTAAAAATTGACAGTTTCCTGGTTACCGAAGCATGAGAAAACATTTGACTACTATGTTCCCTGCGGTCGATACTTGACACTATTAGAAAATTTGCTTCGATTTTATGCGATAATTAAATCTTCCGAAAGTTACTTTTGTCCCTGGAACAGTAAAAAATTCTCAAGAAAACTATCGACTGATATAGCGGCGCTTTTCTCTTAATTAACAGTTTGTGATTTCTGTAGATAATTTCTGTTGTTAAAACTATTATATTTAAGGACAAATATGCTTATATTTTATATTTAAGTACGTAGAAATTACAATAGATAAATGTAGACTTACTTCCTGTTGCTATTTTAATTTGCATAGTACAAGACATTGCAATTTATTGCTATATGAAAATTGGCATTTTGTATAACTCAGGTCGTCAAAACAGTCCTCAAGTATTGCCTCAATGTTTATAAATCTTTACTTTAAAATTACAAACAGTTTTAGTTTTATTAGTCTTTTTTCCACCTTAAATTTAATACTGTAAATGATAGATGTTCCATAAATATTACAGTGAACACTTTCGTCGTAGTAATTCAAACACTTGAAAATTACTTCCTCAAAATAGCCCTAATTTTCTAGAAAATCTCGAAATTCTCGAAAAAGGGTAGCAGTTAATATTCAACCTTATATTAATATCTAGTTAATCATTAAGTTATCACTATAAAAATAGTATTTATTAAATATTCAATATTTTATGAATAAGTGAATGTAGACTTACTTCCATTCATTATTATATTCTTAGGGACAAGATAAAAAGCAGAGAAAATAAAGATTACTCTTTCAACAATTATCAGAAGACATCAGAATGTTTATTAAAATTAATTTACGAAAGTTCATATTCTCGATCATTATCAATTTTTTTTCCTTCTGGTTTTCATTTAGAATCACAGTTAAATCTTAAAATCACAATTATTTTTACTCGTAATAATGATTCCTCTGCTTCAATTCTGAATATGTAGTACAATTCGTAATGTTTATATCCCTGTTACATCACATATGTTAAACAATGTCAATACTGCAATGACCATGGTAACTGCACTGAGTACGCCGGTTAAACTATAAGTATTACGGTTTCCCTGCGAAGATCAGAATCAACAATTATGTGTATACGTATTTAAATAGGCACACGACAACAAGGTTTAATAATATTAATGCATAAATGGAACTTACAGTTAGAAATCGAGGAGCAAAGTGCGATTATTAATAGCCACCGATGTCGACATTTACATATACTTTTTAACACTCCCACGACTTAACTAGCTTGTTTTTCTGCTTGCAAGTCATTTTAATATGCGAGAAACATTTTTTACGATTCCTTTTGAATTCCAGCAAAGCAGAATACGATCGATTCTGTTTATTATGTTTCTCTATTGTTCTTCTTGTTTATTGTAAGTCAGTCTTAATTGCTTCGAAATAATTACGCGAAGCTCTATCATTTGAACCATGTAGGCCTTTGATTTATTTTGCGATACTCCAAGGATTTGTAAAATCAATCATTAATTCTAAGTCTTAATCACAATCCTCAATAAATGTGAAAGGATTATAGTTGGAAATAAGGATTAAATAATAATGTGATTGGGTCTAACTAAAAAGCAACATTTCACACTTTAATCAACTTATCTTATTCGATAATAAATAATGAAGAAATCTCCTGAAAATAATGTAAATACATAGAATCATCTTTGTTATTTGTTGAACATTACTGACAAAAAGGGGAATAACAAGAAATTGATCTCACTTTGTTTATCAACTTTATTTGACTCTCGAGATTTAAGTCACAATATTGTTATTATTTCGACTATCTTCAGTGTTGTTTCTTAAATTCTTCAAGTTGCTCATCTATTTGTTCTCTATTAATAGTAACTTTTTTGGTTGTTATTATTAATCGGAACATTAATACCAATTTTAATATAGTTTATATACTATTTCTCAATAGTTTTAAAATTTACATAAGTGTTGTTTATAAGTATTTAGACATCGGACTTTGAAGCAGATTTTCATTTATTTTAATTTTTTTTAATACCATTTATACATATTACTTTCATGAAATGACTGAAGATAATTTTATAAATTTTACTTACGGATGGATTACTTTTATTCGCCGTCTTTTCAATCCCATAAAATGTTTGCCGAAATCTTTCTAACTATTCATTGAAATATCTACATTTGAGAGTTACCTTCAATTTTTAAATTTGATATTTGAAATTTAAAATTGAAAATGTTTTGTCATGTGAATTCTTAAAGTTGACATTTTGAATTTACAGTTTAGTAAAATGAAATAATACCCTGCCAAAATATACTCTGTTTTCAGCAATAACTTAATTTGCATTCGAGAGTTATATTAAATTTCTTAGAATCATAACTCATTAAACTTTTCACGCGTTTGTAGAATTTGTATAACAATGGACCATCGAACTTTCCATACATTTATATAACATTAACCCCACGAATCCCCGAACTTTCAATATATTTATAGAATTTTTACTCTATGGATCACCAAACCTTTCATATGTTTACTTTAAAGCCATACATTTTTACTAGATATCCAACCAAAATCCAAATCTGTACTCCAATTAGTCGCTCAAAAGATCAAAATGGTTGGATTCCAAATTCACCTATTGGTAGTAACCAACAATCATCATATTGTTTTGATCAGACGTTTGCCGTTGTATTCATGCATTTGCGGGTATATACTACTGAAAGGATACATTTTTTTTTTCTGTGTAACGAGTGAAACAATTACGATTGTACGATGAGCTCACAGGCAACGGATAATTTACATGATGGAAACAAAAGCGTCCCCGTGCAAATAATCGCTTTGTGCCACCGCGGTCTGTCTTCGCGCTGTGCAAACTGGCAATAAGAACTGTTAGATGTTCCTTATATTTGCCACGTGCAAATTCTAGATACCTCCTATTCCGCTTTGACTATCACCGAGCGCGCCTCTTCGCTTTCATGGTTCCTTTTTCCATTATAATAATATAATATAATCAATATAATTTCATCTTTGTATTTTATTTTGCAGCCTGTTATGTATTAAAAGTGTAATTGTAACCCGGCAGAATAAGCTCCTTATTAAAACCATCTGTTGGTTTTTTTTTTAGAATAAAATATTCATTTCTCATCGTTGTTAGAAAGAAAAATTGTTTTCTCATTATAATATTCTGACGTATGTATGAATACATATTTATTGTTAATGAGAAACATTTGTATACCTTTTTATGAGGTTGTTTAAATATTTTCAGAAAGTATTTTTTATCCAACTTATTATGTGTTCTGTTATTAATGGTAAAGAGAGAGTATCATTATCAGACTTTAGTAATATGTGAGCGTCAGAGATTATCTCTCGTGCACTTCATTTACTATGTTATTCACTATTTTGGTACACATTCACTTATTATGAGTCGTTTTTTATGTTACTATACACCCCATATTGATCGAATTTTTTTTGTAGTAGCGTCCTGGACTTTTTAAGAGCGTAGGTCTGTATACTTATATGTAAATGAAGATGAGATTTTAGGTACAGAGGCTGTATGGAGCGTGTGGATAAAAGTATTTGGTTTTTTCTTCTTCTTGGATGATTACTTGAATGTTTTTTACATTAGACTTCGTTTGTAAACTAACGTATACCTTCTCTAGTATACAAATCCATAAACGATACAATTAACATTCTTTAACATTCTTCGTTAATTTGCTAAATTTCTTGCCTTATAATATCGAGCAGTCTAGTGGCGACAGTTTCAAAGTGGATTTCATAAACACGAATATTATTTTCTTTCAGTCAAACTGAAGTATTATTTTCCTAATTTCAATATAAAACTTTTGGATGTAATGTACAATTACAGTGAATATGAAGTTCCTTTAACTTCTAGAAGATTACAGACAACACAGTAACTTTATCGAGCGGTGTCGTTAAAAAATCATGATACGTGTTAAACTTCTGAATCTTTGAATATTTAAAATTCCCAATTTTCCTACTATGTAAGCATCTAACTTATTGACACTTCAAACTATTGAACTATTGAATGTTTGATCTTCCTAAGGATTAATATTGTTAAACTTTGTATATCACTTTTCTCTCTGAATTCTTCCTTAATGCGATAACTTTTTTCCCACAGAAAGTTTCAATAATTTGTGCTTCTACTTTCGATTTCGTAGATTCCTCGAAAATAACCGGTTGTTCCCGGCGTGCAACCGTTCACTGTTCGCAATTCAAAGAGCATACCACGTTATTAGCCTTTCAAATCGAATAATACTCTCAAGGAGATTCTGCTGAATATTTCATAACGTGTTGTTCGGTATCGAGGTGCAAACTTATCACACGTCACGGCACGTTGTCGTTTCGATTACGATTAATTCGTTGAAAATATTCGGCGTTTGACACCTACAAAGACGAACAAACTGTCAATAATATTTTTAAGCACTGTTAAAAATGTTGACAGATTTTTTAATATTACCAGAGCTCAGTATTATTACCTCAAACCTTTCCAGTATTCTTATTAGTCAGTATGTAAGTACTATTTTTTTAATAGCTGCCATAATTCATGTTTCTAAAGTGTTTGTATTAATATACGATAAATTGTCGTTTTTAATATTACTTGGTTGTTCCATATCAATACTGGAAAACTTAGGATCGATTTCATTTAAAATTCAGCACTAACATAATTCAATTAACAGTGCTATATCAATATTTCAGATGTTCCCACAGTTTCACTAATAAATCCTCACATATTTCAATTCGTTCGAAAACCCTAACTGATGTCTGAATTATCACTTTCACTGCCAATTGTCAGGTTCTCACCTCTATTGGAAAAATCTCAGATTATTTCATTCATTACTAAAA